TATTGGCATTTCGTCTAGAATATTTAATCTTATTATATTTAATTTAAATCATGAATGGTGTATTTGTGTCGTGATAAGCCTTGTTGTTACACTTCATCAAAGCTGAGATTACCGCTCAGTAGTTTATTCCTGGTCGCGCATCGCCATCTTGCTTGAAATATCTCTCAATAATTTGATCCACAAGTATGATCCTGAGTCGTATTCCGATCATCATAACATTCAAAATAAATTAACGTTTTTTAATTACCTATATAATTAAAATAATTAAAATGAAAATTAATTATAAAATTATAATCAAAATTAATTATCCTGCTTGAAATTTTGTTGTATACGAGTGTTGTAGCATTATCACTATCAGTGCCCTCGAACAATTTTATAATTTGGAAATAAATCATCGTTAGCTGCACCAATAATAGAATATCTGGAACCACGTTCACGAATAACGCCGTGGCAACGGGAGTTTCTATGAAATATAAAAACAAAGAAATTTTGATGGATCAAAAATTTGCCACAGATTTAGAAATGAAAACTTTTTCATTTATTATTATATGGTTTATTTTTATGCCACCTTCTTTGTTTCCTAAATTCCTCTAAAATTTGTGATTCATGAAATAAAGTGACTTTAGGACCGAATTTCCTTCAGTAAACATGTAGTGTTAAGACCTCTAATGGAGGCCGTAGGCCGCGCGACCATTGTAACGAACGTTCGATTGCGACAATATAGAGCACAATGACTATATCTGTAACGACATCACGAATATGGTTACTGTAGTAGTAGTAGTAGTAAGGCAATTCGTGTAAGGTTAGTAGTAGTGTAGTAGTAACATGAGTTACTGTAGTAGGACATTGTGCTAAGACGTTGACTGGATGTGTGCAGGTGGAGGCAGTGGGACGAGTGACCGGCGTCACCCTCACTGCCGTCTATAAGAGGAAGGATCGAGTTGTACACGACATCACTGATACCTACTACAACGGCTGGGCAAATGGCACATATGTCAGGTCAGCATTTTTATTATTTTAGAAAAATGTAAATTATAGAATTATGCAATTACAAAATTATGCAATTCGCATTTGGTGAAACGAAATCCGGACTACGCTAGTTATGTTATTGATGCAATTTTTCCAGGGCAACGTCCGAGCAAACGGCGATGAATGGCACCCACGGATCCCACCCGCTGGCATTCATAAGTGCATCAAGTGCGCTTGTAAGGTAATTATCATCTTTTAAGAATTTGTTGTTATAAGATAAAACAACCATTAAGATGTTTCACAATGAATTATTGCTCACACTTTGCCTGAAAATTCAGCAGGTTCGCAGTTCTTTAGCTTACTTTTCGTTCCATGACAGGATTCATTGCATGACATAGATATTTGAGTTCCTTTCTATCATCACTTCTCAACTTTCAAGAAGTACAACGCAGTAAAACTTATAAACTTCTAACATACTGGTTTTGTATATTTATTATAAACTAGGTTTCCTCACACTATTACCTTACCAAGATTTGCTTAAGCTCGATCATTCGTTGCAGGATGGCTTACTGTCGTGCCACCGCCTGCCGTGTCCAGAATTATCGTGTCCGCGTACAGTTCATCCCCAGGGCTCGTGCTGCCCCGTCTGTGCAAGTCAAAATAATGTTATTCCTCGCACCAACCTCAGTCACTCGCAGCCCGTAGTCCAGCGACGGCCAAAAGGCGGATCCAGCAAAGGACAACCGAAAAAAGGAGGGAAGCGCTTGAGGAAAAGAAAAAATCGGACAAATGATCGAGGACGCAGAGGCTGAGCTGGAAAAATTCGCATTTGTTCCGCGTGTACGGGTTTTGTGGTAAAATTCTCCTAAATCTCTACGTTTTTCTTAAGTTTAATTGATGTATGGTTAAGAAAACGATAAGGTATGGTGACTGCCCGGCTGTGACAGAGGCTAAGAGCATCATTCGAGGTACGGAAAAATATGGTGCTGACTAGAACTGACTTTGCTTGGTTCATCCGAAGATCTTTTGCTCTACCTGGATTTCCAGACCACAAATAACATAGAACTAGAATTGTATGAACTGGATATGAAATGAGTTCTCCAGTACACGATTCGAAAGTTTTGGCCTGCTTTGGATATCTTGGTTCGTGACTCAAGATCTTTGGTTCATCTTAATTTAATCGTATTGACTGATCGTAAACTGTTCCTAATTTTGCTTAGTGTCTCGTAGGATAATCGTTCTAATTGTAAATATTATTGAAAAGCTACTTTAAGCGTGCGAATGCCGTAAAGAGACCGCTATTTTTTGTTTTGTGTATTGCTTATCGTGAAAATCATTCTGTACAGCGTAGTTATTGAATTGTTAACTGATTGTTAACTGCTCGGTAGCTCATAGACAATTCATCCCCTTACGAAAGCGTGGAAATAAATTGGCGTTGTAAAGAGATTTCCAGCTGTTTTTTGAGACAAGGCGCAAGGCACGTTTTTGACGAATATGTTGAACCATAAATTTAAGAGCGTCACCGTTCGCTGCATTGCGAGCTTCGGAAACAATGATCATTTGTCACATCGAATTCCAGTTGATCTCCTCACTCACCTATATCAAATTCTTCCTTGTTTATTGTAAAGCTCATTATATTTTCTCGTGAATATCTGTATTTGAGTGCCAAGAAACTGAAGCCTTGCGTACGCAGTGGAAACATGATTTTAATTCCGACAATTTGCCTAGTCTTGTCGCTAGTCTTAGACTCTGGGACTAGCATTACAACGAATCTAAAGTGGCTGGTCAGTGGAGATCTGAGCCTTTAATCTAATTGGTGACTACAATCATGAAACATGTTTTCGGAAATTAACATTTCTCTTTATGTTTGTATTTATCATGAAGTTTTGAACCGACCGAGCGGCATCTACCTAAAACAATTTCGTCTGCTTGATAACGGGGAAAAACTTGGAAAGCCTGAAAGAATGAAAACTTGAGTTAGAATAGAATTTAGAAGTGTCGGCACTGAAGAAATAGGTCCATGGCCTGTTGCCGATTCTTGTACTTTTCGTGACTTGATTCACAAGGGAGTTAACTGATTTACCTTCTCAAATTTTTATGTCCTCAACGTTTGTTGTTCTTTTATGTAGACTGGTTAATGTTTTAGATATTTTGACTATGAAATATAACTAAATGTTTATTTTATTCCAAATTCGACTATGAATGCAAATTGTCTCCTCTCAGCGTTAATCAATTTAGCGCTCATGAGTGCTGACTAAGTTCGGTTTTGTTGCTTAGGCGCCACCTTTACAATTCTTTTGTGGCACATAATGCATTTGATTTCAACTAAGGACGGTGATAGAAGTTCTACAAAATTGTGATATTTTTATTTATTTTTTATCTGAAGTGAAAGATATCATTTTCTTATCACTTGCACTCTTTCGGGTTCTTCTTTAAAAATAGCTGAAGCGCTAGCAAACCATTATATTAGTACTACTCTTCTTTAAAATTTCAATTAATGCATTGGGCAATACAAGCAACTCATTACGATTTTGTATGGATTATTTAATGTCAATGCAAGTGAAAAATCGTAGAAAATATAGGATGTTTTTGTAGAACTTACCCAGTTCTTAAGAGAAACTTCAACATAAATGATAGGAATTAAAAAAATAATTTTACAGTCGATAATAGAAAAAAACTCCAACACGGTTCTCTTGATAATTAAGATAATCACGACTGGTTGAGTCGATCCTATCCATCAGTAAAATTGCTTTCATGCAACGTCATCCTTAATTCTTCATGCGAAGAATAATCCGATGGGACTTGCTTGAATAGGCCTTCTGTAGCTCACCGGTTGATAATTCAAGACAACATTTTCGAAAAAAATTCGAAAACTGTCTGAACAATTAAAAATGAAGAGTTAAATGAAACGTTCAAAAATTGACAGTAGTTTAAATTTTATGAACGACTGAAGGGTTTTTACATTCATTACTATATTTTTTATTTAGAAAGAAAATGTAGATGACTTGCGAATTTCCACTCTCTGAAAAAAAGTTTGAAAGGAAACTTACTTATTATTAACAAGTTCTCTCACTCTTATTGAAGCTTGGGAATTGCTGCCAAAGACGACTTTTGGAGTATTGGAGTAGGGTTTATTTTATTGCATTTCATGCCATGGCCGATTATCGTTCTTAAGTTTATTGTTGTCGTGTGAATTATTACATAGCTAAAGCCTGACTCTAGTGACAGAATATATGTAAGGAAGATAGCGCTCGACTTTTTGACCATTACCGTGTAAATAGTTGTACATTTGAACTTTAGTTGTTAAATTACGCTGTAAGAAGCAAATTTGTCTAAAGTGTAAATTGATTGGTATTTTATATTTATCTTAATTTTGAGAGCCAAAACTCAGCTCTCTTTATAATCCTCATTCTAATAATATTATCGCTTAGTGTTTGAAAACTATCGCTTGTTCATGAGACGACCTGCATTTGGAGTTAATATTCTTCACTGATGTTATTGGATACCCTAACTACCCCTTCGTGGGTGATTTTTACCACGTGTTTCTTTAATTCTTGTCTCGTATCAACGATTTAGGCAATCAGGGTCTCAGTAAAAATGTATGATCGACTCAGCCGTGCGTCGATATCAGGGGTAGCCTCTCGCCGTTTTAGTAAATTATTTTCTACAAAAAATTACTTGTTGCGGGATCATGAGGCTGGTGTAACGGTCGAACTGAGGACTCTACACGGTGAAACTTGACCAAAATATTATGTATAGCTGTGACGATTATGTGTTAAGAGTCGCCATTAATTGTTCTTCTGAAGGTTCCGAAACTAAGAATGATTTTTATGAAAGTAACCCAGCAAAAATAATTAACAAATGAATGCATATTGTAACGCGGCAAGAAGCCCGATTGCAATAGATCTTTCTCAGTAAATTAGTCAAGACTTTCTTCATGAAAGAATTCAGTTTCGTCATAAGATTGGCTTACGTTTACTCAACAGCTTTTATTGATTCTCCCTCAGCACTGCGTCTTATTACGTAAGAAAAAATGTAAATCAGAAAAATATAATTTCACCAAGTACCTATCAATAACCACCCTACGAACGAGCTTTGGAATAATTATTCCTGATGCATTTAATGTAGTTTAAGATCTCACGGTTAGAAATTGGTGCAACTTGAATAGTTTCATTAAACGCATATGCATGCTAAACCTTTTGTTGATCTTCCTGTTTAGAATGAATAGAGAATTTTATTTTGGAATGTTTTTTTTCGTTCTTAGCCTTCTAGCTAAACGATTTGGTGTGAGAACGTTTAATTTTCTATGAAGCGTTTTAAAATTAGAAACTGTGCCATAATAATTTTTCCGTATCGTTTGTAGCGTCGTCTTGGGTTCTTTCGTTAATCTGGTCAGGTAGTTTATTAGTTATGAAATGTTACTTTACGTCTGAAAAATCGTTATTGGATCTTTTTAAGAAGTTTTAATTAACTTGCAGTCTCTGATAATCACTATTTGGCATTAGGAAGTGTCAAATAATTAGTAAATTAGTAGCTAAGTGATATTTCAATTGTGGTCATAGCAAAAGATATCAGATATGATTAAATTCTTGTAATGAGTTTGGTACGAATAAATAACAAAATCCTTCAAGCGTCTAATAAGTTACGAGTCTTTCCCAAACTTGGGAGACTCTAGCAAACTCTTCACTCGAACGGGTGAGCCTTCCAGTAGTAATGAACTTGTTTATTTCGAATTGTGAGAGTATTCATACTGTAAATTTCAATAATAGATGTTTTCTCATTCACTGATGTTTTAAATGCACGACTTATGCGCTTGTGTTCAACAAGTCTTTAACCATACGCAGTGTTGATCGTTTGATCAGGTCATATTTTATTCTTCCATAATAGCGTTAAAGGTGGCATGAGAAACTAAGGAGGCTATATTATAGATTTTAGATTGTTACATGGATTCGTGTCTGTGCCGACGCCCATTGTTTTATACCATTTGACACCTGTAACTTATTTTTGTTAGTTGTTACATGAAACAAAAATGTGCTCTGTAGTATTTCTCGACGGAATATATGTCTTAGGTAAATTTGCATGAAATTTCCTTGTGAAATTGACTTCAACAATATTTTAACATAGAAGAGATTTGAGATCGTTTGAAAATGACGGTTTCTTAAGCCTAATTTTAGCATTTATGATATTAAGGCTTTTCGGACTTGACGTTATTGATGATCGTTTCAACAACGATTGGACGATTTGATGTCATGGAATGATTTTGAATGTTTTCTGTATGATGGTAAATATAAGCATTTACTGTAACAAGATATAAAGATAAAAATTGATTTAATAAATAGCTTTCTAGGACCATTTTTAACTAACATTACAAAGATTACATTTTTCAAATAGCTCGTGCTCGTGATGTAAAATCACGAATTCAGAGGTGAATTACTTTAGGACTATTAACGATTATTAAAATTATACGATTAAGAGAAATCGCTTTCGTTACTGATCGCTTAAACTGAAGTCGAAATTTTTAGAAGTACATAGTGAAGTTGCCTTAAATTTTTCGTTATGAGCAACACGCTCCTGATTCTAGTCATAAATTGATTTTGGATGCTTCCATTTTCTCTTTGCTTGCTTCTTCGAGGTAGTGTAAATCATGTTTAACTTTAAATTAAGTTTTATATGTATTCTCTTGTTTCCCCGGAAAATGTTTCAAACTTGAAGGCATGGATTATTTCGTTTAAACATTTTGTAATGTGGTTTCTTGGTTTTATTATCAACTTGTTTATTTGACGATTTTATTTCTATGAGAATTCCATGCTTACGTTATCAACTTTATCTCTGAATATCACTTCAAATAATTAGCTATACTCGAACTCCGAAATAAAGTTCACTTATTTTGTTTGTGAGAGCACGACAACATTTTTCCTAGAGATTCCCGTCGAAGATCGATGATCATAGGACGCCGTACAGATCTGTCAAGTGTTATCGTTTTGAATTGAATAATATTAGTGTTCATAGCTTCTTTTTTGCCACAGTTTACGAATGAATTCCTTATTTAAGGGGAAGCACCCCACATTGAATGCAATCATTTTCTTTCTAAATATTGTCATTTTCGAAATTTTATAAACAGGTTAATTGTAGACGATATGAATGAATTATTATTCTTTACTGTTTTAAAATTAATATTGTTCATCTCTACTTTCGTAATAGTTGATTGTATTGACTTATTGGTCGAAGGACGAAAGTAACAAGTGTGGTGCAGGGTTTTTTTTAAATGATTTTATCATCGGCGTTTCAGGGCTGGCAGCATTCCTCGTGTGTAAATAGTTGAGTATCGGATTGTCGAATCACGTGACTACGAATGATGCTATCTAAAAAATTAATCGATAAAATACCGTAGTTTTTTTCTCCTTCTTTACATTATAATCTCATATTTTCAAGAAAAATTATATTTATGCTATTTTGTTGAGATTTTGTTAAATGGACACATAACACACATATTCCTGTTTTTAAAACAGGCTAGCAGAGGTCGTGTTTGTTCTCAAGAAATATCTTACAACGATAAAATGAGTAATCAATGTCCTTGAATTAGAAACAACCGCTATATCAATTTTTAGGCGTCGCAATTCAATAATTGTCCATTTTCAACAGGGATTTTAAAATTAACAAAGATAATAAAACTATCACCGAGATTAGAAGTAGAAGATTAGCGTAAAATGAATTGTTGTAAGAAGTTTTCATTTATAAACAAAGGTCAAACTTTAATTAATACATTAATTTCCATTTCATCAAATAAACAATTTTAAGTTAGCATGATCAAAACAAATTTCTGATCCACATCATCCTTTGTGTCACTGACTGTCACTTGTAAGCTATATGAAACTGTTGCAGTCCATGTAATAAATAATTGGAGTCACATGCTTGCTTATATCGAAAATTATAGAAATCGAAATCTTTATAGAAAACGTTTCGGAGTCCAGCTCCATCGTCAGTTCGTAGAATCTAGAAGTTTGTAAAGAAAGAAAGTTAGAAGTTTGTAAAGAAAGTAGAAAGTCACAAATTAATACAATTGAAAGCACAGAACGCAATTAAAAACCTAAATTTACAAATAATAGATCACAAAAAAACTATTCAAAGTTTCAAGGAGATAGGAGCTAACAGCTGAATCCAAACTGGGCCTAAGTTTAAAAATGTACAATGATTATAAAATGCGCAAATCTGAAGTACCGGAGGTGGAAGCTAACACCCTTAAGTCACTGTCGGAAATAGGGACATCACACTCCTCGGCGTGAGTGCGCACAGCCGAATGAGGGGGGCGCGATAGCAACTGTCCGGTCCTACAACTCCTGCCCTTATGCTCAGCGACCCTGGAATAAAGATTGCGTGACGTCATCCCGACGTACGCAGATGCACATCGTGCACAACAATATTGATAAACCAGGTACGATCGCATAGGAGTAGGGAGCATATCTTTATATCTAAAGAAAGAACCGATTTTGAAATTGTTTACCAGCACAATACGCATGAAGAGACATTTGGAAAGTATCTATTGAACAAGGCTTCCGTACCTCGGCCCTGTGTCCGAAGCTTTGTCAAGAGAATTAAAAGTCTTATTCAATAGATTTGAAGAGAATTAAAAGTTTTGTTTTTCAGACTTGCGTATTTTAGAATCCTTGTACATTTTTAAACTTAGGCCCAGTTTGAATTCAACTGTTAGCTCCTATATCTCCTTGAAATTGTGAATAGATAGTTTTTTTGTGCTCTATTATTTGTAAATTTAGGTTTTTAATTGCGTTCGATGCATTCAATTGTATTAATTTGTGGCTTTCTATGTAACTTCTAGATTCTATGAACTGACGATGGAGTTGGATTCCAAAACGTTTTCTATGAAGGCAATTAAATAGCTATAAAAGATTTAATACGAATTTATTAAATAATTTTTAACAAAATTTAGAATTGTTCGAACCTACAAGCTAGGATTTTTTGTATACATATAGCATTGGTGCAAAGTAATTACATTTTTACAATTTTTTTCATTTGTTCATTATTGTTAAATTTATGTAGCAAAGCGATTATATTGAGTGATTTTTAGCCACAAAATGTTTTTGGAGAGCTCAAAAAATTTGCTAGCTTACAAAACAACGATTAGGTGGAACAGGACAACGTAGTACCAATTAATTGATAAAGTGGGCATACACTAAATTAGTTACTTATTTATGGGAAAACATATCGACTGATGTCATCAAACGATAATTAATGAAATATTCACAAGGTATTCCAAATAAAAAGTCAAAAAGTTATTCTAGGTGGCTACGTTTTATATAAAGAACTAGTGACTTAATTTCAGTTTAAATAAGCTAGAGAACTTTTGACTAGGTTGAATTTACTTGTTACCAAATTAAATTTAAGTGAGTCTGAAAATAAAAGTAGACTTTTTAATTTGCTGATTTGGTTTCGTGAATGTTCAAAATATCTCTTTTTCTATAAATGTTCCATGTTCTTGGAATAAATTTTAATTCGACTGTTATTATTCTCAAGTGAGCAATAAATAAATAACAACTATGATTTACGTTTCAATATTGCGTTCTGTGCTATCAATTTTATTAATTTGTGACTTTTTGTCACAAATTTTTGTTATAGTTTCAATTAAAACTTGCTCGGTGCTTCATTTGATTTTTGGTGACGTCCGAAGAGCTTCAGCGTGAACATTGAACATGAGACTAACCTCGCATTTTCACTTCACTCTCCTGTCAAGAATTGTCAGCAGTTCGTTGACTGACTTCATTACAGCAACAACTTTCGGGTGCTAGTGCTACTGAAGTTTCATGTACATTTCCCGTTCTACCATTTTCAGCTCCGCAGACAGTGAATGTACGGACAAATTTTTAAAGAATCTTCAGCCCAGGTTTGTTATTGGAGTTGTAGTAAAACCTCATCTATAACTCCTCCTGAAATTTTCCGAAATTCAGGGCGTGTGGTCGTTATAGATTTGGCTTTGTCTACTTCATGATGGAACGCTCTATATCACACACGTCTTTGGTTCAGGCAACATCTACGCGGGTGTGGACAAGCCATACACCGACAAACGCGTACACCGGAGGATTTTTAAACACTTCAGGCACGCCAACCTAAATTTGAGGACACTTGAGTGATTGGTGACAGAACTGCTTATTTATTTTCCTCTGCACTGAGACCTGAAGAAATTATAAACCGGTTAAATTTAAAAGGATCATTGATATTTTACTTAAACTGTTGTTGAATTCCGGCCTAGACTTTCGTTGCAAAGTTACCATTTTCTTTCGGAAAATTTAAGCTTATCCAGCATTATGCTTGTTACAGTAAAAGTTCGAGGCACTACTCTCTTGATGAAACTATGGGCATTTCACTGAATCGAGTAGTTTATAGTTTTTAATTTCAATTTATTGGTACATTGAATGACTATAACATCGATTTTGTATTATTTAAGATGGGTTGGACAGACGCGGGACGGCGAGAGCGAGTTGCGACTCTTTAGGACAGAATCTACACTTCTCCGGACCCGCCGACGAACTCGCCTGCAGACTCATTAATGCAAACCTAACTACACGATCAACTTAACCAGTCATAAGTCCTTCAATACTGAACGGATTTGCTTGAATTTTGGAATAAAATTAGATATGATCAATACGCTGCGATATGAATTATTACAGATTTTTACATTACTTTGTTTTCAATTAAAACGAATTTTGCGTTTGAGTCCGCAGGCGGGTCCGGAGAAGTGTCGATTAGGTCTCATACTTTTGAGGCAACAACTGCTTCTGCAAATTCAGAAGCATACATAGTTTCAAACCTTAGATTTGCATATTCAATGACTTTGTTACATTTCAATGTTGTTGAGAGATTGTCCTCGCTTTCTTTGAAAAATTCATCATTCATCGCAGTCAATTTGTAGGTATGTTCAAGGTTACCGTTATTTAATACATATTTCATATTCAGTCTGAAAAATACGTAGGTATTCACAGTTCAGGGGTTCTAGAGCGGATCTCAAGGTTAGTTTGTTGTTGGTTCCGGACATAATTGCAGCAAGTTTAAAACTAAGAAAGGTGGCGCCGTTACGCAATTAAAAATCAAGTTAACTAAGTCGAAAGAGCGAATTTTGATTCTTCATGCAAACTGCGCTATGTTACCGAATCGACACCCTACGCAAGGTTAATCAAAAATCTCCGTTATCATCAGAGCAACCAACCACTGCTAAAGTATTCCTTGTATCTTGCTATAATTCAATTTTTCGATTATTCTCTTGGTATGAATGCAAGTTTTATTTAGTTTTTACCTATTTTTTTACAAAATTGAATTCATTTAATTGTGAAAAGGGGAAGTAAACCCATTTTGAGGGTAGTAGTTCCTATTAAGGCTTAAAATTTAAATGTATCTATTTTATCAAACTAATAATTTCAAAGTTAAGTATTTTACATAGGTAAATTTTAATTAAATTGAAATTCATTTATAGAATTGAGTTTTCTTATGCTCTTATAGTGCGATATTTCACTGTTTTAGCCGCGAAGACAGCTTGTATTAAATCTTATTCTTTAGTCAATTTATATTCTCTAAACAGTCAACAATTCTACTATTATTACTTATCACCCAGTCCTTCTTCACATCCCATCTGATTTTGCTGAAAGCAATAAAACCTAAGGCTGGTAGTTATTTAATTTGTTAAGAAGTTATAGTTTATAATGTGTCTAATCTTTGATTAGTCAAACCCGCGCAAATGTTTTACGGTCTTTGATTTAAATTTGTCTCATTTACAATACCCAGTTATCACGCTCTTATGATAAACTATGAAACTCTCATTTTAGCGTCACCTATACGTTATTCTGTCTTTATATTTTTCCGTCCAACCAGACCAAGAAAGCAAGCTGACGGATGGACGATTGGTCGCCTTTTTTTTCCTGACCCATTTCCAGTCGATCATTTGCAATTATATATTTCTGCTAGGACGATTGCTCTTCTTTAATGTACCTAAACCTACATACCATGAAAGAACTTAATATTTCGGAAATTGTATATTCGAAATATAAAGTTTCTTGAATATTAATTACATTATTAAAGTGTTGATTGTGAGTGAACGTCACAATTTGTCGACCCAAAATGTGTCGTTTTTCGTGGAAAACTTACCGAGGATGGAAAATTGTGACAAACGTACTTCGCACTCCAACGTGAATGAAATTCGTATTTTAATCGGTACATCATACATGGTAGTAGAGTAATGTGTGAATGTGTGGGTCTGGCGGTAAAATTATGTTTTCATATTTTATTCCAGTGAGGCCTGGGCGAGTTTTAGCCCGATAACTTTCAGAAATTCTCAAGGCTTAATTGGAATGGATGAGCTTGGTATAACAGCAGATTACTACTAGTATACCGAGGGAAGTGCCCAGGCGCTGAAACGTGGACAACCAATGCTTTAGTTAGCCCTGCAAATGTTTTTTCTAAAAGTGTTAAAAAATATTTAGAGCAATAACTGAAACAATTTCCATGGAGCGACCGATGTTTGTAGTTAAAACCCTGATTTTACTACACCCTTCATTTTGAGTTTGACAAAAATAAGTCAAATTGTATAAAGACTGTCTGTCCATTGATTTGTAAAAGAACACGATTTGCGTTTAGTTTCAGTGAACTTATTTCTATTTTTATAGTATTTACGCTACCATGTTCCTGGCGTTCCACAGATCAACGGAGTAAGAACGCTACTGGTGCAATAGCTCGGTCAGGGCTCGTGAGGGAAGTATAGCAATAGAGTCAAGAACTCCATAACTTTGATAAGAGTTTGCGGAGTAACATCACAGCGCTAGTGTGTACGTGCATTTCGCAGTCTTTCTAAGAGGTTAAACCTAATTGCCCAGTCAGCACAATTCTCAAGCATGACAAGTTTCTCTTCTTTATAATACTTTGTACGTCCATATTTTTTAGAGATTAACAACTCAGAACAAGTTTGAGTAATGAATGAACTTGGCCTTTCAATGCTTCTAATATTTATTTTTCTGTATTATTCGACCAATTAGCAAGTGCATTCCATCGGGGAAATGAAACCATTTCATTACACCGGGCAGATTTGTTTACTTTTTGGTTAACGAAACTATTCAGTTCCAGACTGATCAGAAGAGAACGAAAAAAGTACACAAAAAATACAAATGACTACCATATTTATTAACGTTTTCTAAACATTGATGAAAAATAAATAATTGCCATCAACCAAGGAACTTTGCAAATAAATAGCTAAGCGACACCTATAGTACTAAAACAATTCTCTCCTTTTCATAATGCAGTAGCGACTTCCTATTCTGGTTCATCACAAACACGTGCAACAAAACGTAAAAGAATATCACAGAATACTAAATCGTAAGGCAACTTAAAACGTCTACAAACGTTCATCACGTCGTACACAAGCTCCCCCACTCAATTTTAGTCATTCAACAGCAGGCAAGTTCAGTCACAAAATTATCTAGAATTGCAAATGTGGAAATCGAATGACAAAATAAAAAAAATTAACTTAATATTTTTTCAACGCTGAAGGAGGCGGCAATCTGTATGAAATAACGTTACATTTCAACACTGAATTATATGGCACGCACACGTATTTCGGGAGGTAGAGACTAAAATATAGTCAGTATTGTTGCTAAGACAAAAATTGCCGGAGGAAATTATATTTCAATTAGGTCCACGAATTAGCAAAACTGTATGAAAGCTATAGCGCGATTAGATGACGGTTAATTAAGATAGTGGAAATTGATTAAACATGTGATACATTTCTTCGTATATACGCGTTGAATTGAAACAGAATGAGAAATAAAAATTACGTAATATTCGAGGAGATAAAACCTACGGCCCCGGCTAGTAATTTAAGTATGTACACAATATTATTTCATTTAACAGTAATACGTAACAACTCCACGTAGAAGCTCTATGATTTTCAGACTTTTTGGAAGCAATCCGTCGGAGGCGGCATCTGAGATGGCACAAGCTTCGTTTCACTCGATTCGTATCTCAGCACAAGAGCGCTATACTAGCTTGCAGCGAAACGTTTTGGTTTCAAAAACTACGTATAAACTTTAGACGACAAAATTGTTGTCAACAAGCATGTGATTGACACATAAACCATTCAAGATTTTTATACAGATTCAGAACATGTAAAACTTTGAAACACTCAAGTTTACGTAGTGAAGGCTAAGGGGTAAGCGGTTTACTGTTAAATCCATAAAACTCACAACTCTCTTCACCCATCATAGAAAAATAGCAGTAGCACTGTTAACATTAAAGCTCAGGCTAAATGCACGTCGATGAGTAGAATAAAATAAGGCTATGACATCAAAAGTCAAAGGCAGCGATAGTATCATTGAAAATTTTTTACAAGAGAGCTTGATAACCGCGAGGTTCCTGATAAACTTGACGACAGTTACATGTAACAACTGCAGTAAGCACAACCGTGAACATCTGAACCTCATAATCAACTAAAGCCAGGAGATGAGATCCTTCATTACCATTAAGTACCATGCCTGACGGAAACACAACCTTGTACACCAGATACAATTACGCAACAGGCATACGTGATAAATAAATAGCATCGGATAAATCATTCCATACTTGTGTTTGATAGCCCACGAAAAGTTATTCTGAGGACAAAATCGGGCATAACTGCACTAATATTTGTATGAAATAAATATACAAACGAACAATGACGATTGAATAATCTGTAAGATTATTTGTACGTCTAATACTCCGAAGGAATTCAGATCCTCTAGGAAAGCTACTTAATGATTATGAGATTACATAACAAAAAGATTGATATGCTAGCGTAACATTGGTGAAACCAGTGAGAATGTTGGAAATTTTCCAACAACATAGCCATGCAAGGTGGGGAACAAGAGGTGGGTAATAACCTCCACAATCGCATAAACGGACTCACGGCAAGAACAGAGGGAACATATCACTTAGGCGCTAATTGTAGTCTTTACTAGCTTTGGCCTACGCAGAAAAAACGACAATAGCAAATGCACATCTAGGAATGTTAAGTACTGCCGCAGAGGTAGGAGGCGTGACGCGGTATAGGCCGCTCACGAGCTCTGGCTACGGAAATGGTCGAACACACGGACAAGGTAATCGAGTCCACTGATGTACTCCCGTAAAATGATCGTATCTCGTTCCAGTCTGTCGGAACTGACATCTAAATCCCTGTACTTCTCGTCCATAATTTCAGCCGTGATCTCCTGAGCCGGTGCCACCTGGAGCTGCTTCATGGCGTAGTGGAGCTCGCACAAAATGCTCACAATCTCCCCTTCGATGCTCCGGAATTCACTCAGGAAGTCCGTATCATTGAGGTCCCGATACAGGGCTTGGTCAAGAGTGACCTGTTCGATGGCAACTGCTCGACGCTGCATCGACTCGTAGGCGATCGCAAGAGCAGATTTGAATTCGAGGGCTTGTAGCTCGTCCTCTGAAGGGTGCGAGAGGCGGTTCAGGAACTCGTATGGTTCGTCGCGAACACTACTCAGCGCCTCCTCCCAGCTGAGCCCAAGCCACAGCTGACTTGCCTGCAAACAAAATACGAACGTGAGTCACGATTAAGTTTAGGAATTCGTTAAGTAGTTTCATGTTACCTCCAAAAAAAAAGATAAGTACAAAATAACTTAAAACATATACACAGACGTTGGACAAAGAAGAGAAACGCCTGACATTTTGCTATCGTAATTATTGAACATGTTTTAAACAATCAAAACTTGTTATGTTAATGTTTTATTGTTTATTGTTGCTGATAATTGATATTTCATCCTTGCACATATATTTTTTAGTAAATTTCTGCGCCTATAACCTAACCTATAGCCTATAAATGGCAAACCTCTCAGACTTTCAAAGATCTTAACGATATCAAAGATAAGATACAAAAAAACCGGGTAGCTTTACAAGACAGTTTTGACCACACACCGAGAGTTCGTGCAAAAAAAAAACACAGCTCCAAAGAGCCGGAAAACGGCAACCCAAGAAAACCGTAGACGTCAACAGAAGCTAAAACTCGAAGAGTTGACAGACGAGTTTATATATTAATGAGGTATCTTTGATGCCTCGAGCGCCGTCGGGAGCCATGTGTTATGTTAACTTTTTTATATTTCCTCTCTTCAGCAAGTTCTTCTCTGATTTCCTTCACTTTATTTGTTTTCGCCCATGAGATAGCTTATATTTTACCGTACGTTGCACTAGTAATCAATTGCGTCAGCAGTTCATGAAGAAATTTTAAAAAATTATTTCATGTACCGGTATGCTTTAATAATTCATTTTAAAAAATAACGAAGTCGACAAGGTAGCAAATGTGCTTCGACACGTTGGTTACAATTTCCAATAGGGGTCAGATTATCGTAAAAGTTCCATGATGATCAATGAAATTGCAATCCAGCTGCCAATTACGTGATCAGACAATTAAACGCGCAAAAGAATATGGTAAAAACGTCCATTGATCAGACACAAATAGAGATGGTCGCTGGAAAGAGAAGGCACAGAGAGAGAGAGTAAAAAAAAAGAGCAGAGCGAGAGCCGCGCCAAGTAGGCACGGTCTGCCCTCTGATGAGGTAACATACAGACAAGATCAAAGTGAGTCACATCAGACGATAGCTTTACAGAATAAGAGTCCAAACGTTCGCTCCCACGCGAAACCAAGGCCAGAGATTCTCCCCAGATGTGACGTCATTCGACAGAACAGCTACACAGCCACTGGCGCACGTTTAGACTTAATTTTATCAGGAGACGATACACGGCAGCTTGGTATAGGAAGCGATCAGACGATGATAGTCGAAAATATTTTAATGGTAGACTTGAGACTGATGAGCGCTTAAAGGCAATATTTTCCGCATTCAATACTGAATTTATAAAATCCAATCAAGCGAAGTATAAACAGCTACAAAAACTCAGAATAGAGCGCGCAAAAAAATACATAGGTCGTCGAATGACTCAAGCCGCAGAAATGGCACAGTGAAAGTTCCCATAGATGCCACGAGAGTTGGAGAGGAAATGACATCAATTTGTGAAGATAGGGTTTTGTGACGTCACAACCAGACCGTCAAACATGCGGCGTCACTGCACGCAACTTAGCGATAGAACAACTGGCGGTAACGTCATAGCTAGACGCTCCACCTACGTACGCAAAAGGAACGCCTCCTCAAAAAGTACCTATTGCATTGATTTATAAACATCTAAATGGTTTAGTAGATTATAATAAGTTTAAAAGAAGCTCGTAAACTCATGTAAATTTTTTGTTCCATTTCAAAATAGGGTTCTGTTTAGGAGTTTAGAAAATCAACACCATTTCTGCAATTCAACGTATAAGATTCAACTCACGAGTAAAATAAAATTAGTTTTCAATATAATTAACCAATATGTGAGTAATGCACTGCAAAAGATTAATGAGTGCCAACAGATCGGGCTCGTGCGAACGAATAGCAATGCAATATCCTTCCAGAATGAATGCCACATTATCCTACGGATGTCCGGAGTTCGGGATAAGGAGCATGGACTGATTGCCTCTACCTACCACAGATCGGGGGCGTGTAGATGGATTGAGCAACTATGACGGAGTCATACGTCACCAGTGTGTTGATTCAGACAAAATCATTCACGAGAACAGTGACGCCATTGAAGATAGTGAAGGAATTCGAGTGCAATCTACACGAGCTAATAATAAATGTGATCAGCATTATTTAGAACAAAATCAGTTGGCAACTGCATTCCTTATCTATTGATATAACCAGCGAAGTAAATTTCAGTACGAGGTTAATAAAGGTGGCTCTGACATTCCAATCGGAGTTAACGCTGATTAAAACCGTATCCGGATTCCATTCTTCACATCAACATAAATTTTAGCAATAAATTAATAAATTTTCGACAATAAGAGAAGAGTATAGAATTCTAGTTCGTTTTAGACAAAATATTAGATTTAAAAATTGAATGTTCGTTTTGTAACTCTTGTAATTAATATTGCACTGGAAATTTTTGAGCGAGATAAAATTGTACGAAATATATCCGGGATATTGAAAGACGAGGTTAACGAAACTATAAGAGGTAGTTCCGTAGACTACAGGGTGAAAATTATTCGTGATTGTGTAACGTCAGTTCAGGCAATATGATCATTAAAATTTATAGCTGCCAACAGAACAAATACTGAGAGAGATCATCTCAAAATCATCAAAATCAGCTGCGCAAAAAACGTTCAGGCGTAAAAAATTAGCGATTCAAATGCTAACTTTATCGACCAAACAAAATCGACAGAAGGTATCAAACAGAGATACTAACTCTGAAACCATCAAGAAGTTTTAAGCAAAACTTCAGAGTAACAACAATGACTGCAGCTACTGAAGGAACACCAATCATTAACCACACTCAAAATAAAAAGATAGGGGAAAACAGAATCGTGTTGAGAATAGGAAACAATAAATAACACTATCAACAAACCAAACTGAACCTTTTTTCCTCGTCTCGCAAAATGTGGCATAGCAGTCTAAATTAATTGCACACAAAGTTTGAAATAATATAAATTCAAAATGCCATATTCTAAAACACTTTTCAAGAAAAGGTACTCACGAAAGTCTCCTTGAAGCGATGCGCGTGCTTGTGCGCCACGTTGATGCTATGATAAATGTTCTCGCTGAAATAAGCAGGCGAAGAGTTTGGGTTGACTTCGGTAACAATCCTGCAAGGGGATGACCAATGAGCCGTTCTACCTCCACTACTCCCACTGCTGCTGCTGCTGCTAACCCGGCCGTTCCTCGCGACGTTGTCGGGAGAATCCATTCTGCTGGAGCGCGCAGGCTTCAAGGCGGTTCTCGTGTCGGCTCCTAAGGTTGGATCTTCGAGACGAGTGGCGGGTTCGGTGTGTCTTGGAACTCGACTCACGACTTGGGTAACAGTTCTTCTAAACGATGGACTTGCGCTACCTTCAATATCAATAGTGTTGCTACTAACACCCAGAAAGGAGTCCAATAAAGATTTAAACTGGTCTTCTTCTCTAGTTAGCGCCTCCACTAAAGTAGTCGACGAATCTTTCGTTGAAGACGAAGGAGACGGAGAAGGTTGATGGAACGATCTCAAATTAGACGAGGTGTCTTTTTTACTAGATGGGATCAGGAATGCCCTAGTAACTAGAGTTGGCTTAATATTTTTATTATATAAAATATTGTTGGAATCCTCAAGAGAATGCGGAGAGCTTTCTCTGAACTTGCTTGTTGGCGCACTCGGTACGTTGTCACTTAGTTTGTTCAATGAGCGGACTGAACTGCTGTCGTCCTTGCTCGCAGAAGATTGACTACTTAAATCGCTAAATAAAATATTTTCTATGCTATTCTGCTGAGATGACTCGTCTATTAACTGTACCTTACTATTATCGTTATCATTAATATTGCTACTAGTTGTGCTTACAATTACAGGCAGCTTAAATGGCTTGACGAGAAAGTTACTCTCTATGCCTCGCGGTGACAAAGAAGGCTCCACACTTCGATAATGGAGATTATGGTACTCCAAGGCAGGAAATTGTGGCTCGGGCATCAGCTGATGCAAGATGCTATTTGAACTTGAAGACTTAGAAGATGACGGCTGTTCTTTCGTAGGGTCTTTGGTCGGATATGAAGTGGGACGAGGCCGCGGGATGTAAAGACTGATGGGCTTGATTGGCTTCGTGAACGTCGGAGAGACGAGCAAGATGAGGACCAACCACACTTGTAACTGTCCTGAAATACCAAGAGAACGGCGGTCAGATGAAAATTAGCCTCTGCTGGTGGAACATGACATCCTAGATACGAGAGAACGATCATCTCCAAAAGTCGCGATGGGAAAATGCAGCATCAGCTACTTTCAAAATTCAGTGGGCATAATTGCACCCAGACAGACCCACGTTTACAGAAGCACGCTAATTATTCTTCAGCATCCAAGTTACAGGATATTAATATTAACGGGAAAATCGTCCCATCGCTTGCTAATTCCGTTGGAAATTATGAAGGTGCTTCAAGAAAGCAAAAAATAAGTGCATCCGTATTCAAGCTACCATCTAACTCAAAATAAGTTTATTATAATTCTCACCTTGGAGCTTAGAGGGTTAATAGTCTACATAATTCATTAGATAGGACTTCCAAGTAATATGCTAGACAATAAAATACAAAATTTAAAATAAACGCCACATGAATGATAAATTTTAATAAGTGTATCAGCACCAGTTATCGAAGGTGAAATGTGTTGTAAGGCAGTAACGCGAGTAATCATGGGATCCGACTGAAATGAGAATATCCTCGGTCTGTCGTAGAAGCATGAAAAAATGAACATTATTCATAAACGATGGATGAAACCAATGGGTTACTGAACGATCATTTTTGTATTTATGCACGCTGAATTTATTTGATCAAATTGAAACTGGAGAAACATATTCCATGCCACTGCCCCTTCAGAATAACAACACAATTATGTAGGTATCCAGAACAAAATTTTACTCTCAATTTTGTGATTTTTTCCAAGTGAACTGAATTATTTACAACAATATAAACATAATTTATCGCGTAAGTGAGCACAACATACACACGTCTGCGCTCGGTGCCTCCCATAACCACCCGCCAGTACAATCCACGGCGCTCCGGGCAACACCCACCCAAGAATCGATCCGTAAGTAGGATTACTGGAACTCTAGACCATATTTTTTCTTCTAAGTCAGATATAGCTTGGAATAACAATTCAAGAGCAAAGCATGCAAAAATGTATCAACAAGAGATAGTGTGATTGAGCAAGAAAAATTGAGAGAAAGAATGAGGTTAACTTATTGCAAGGGTATTTATCGGATATGTGGAGTGGTGGCACCGGTGACGCAACACAGACAGTTGCAATGTTAGAGAGTCGCCGGTCCGGAAGGAAAGGAATGCGTGGGCGCAGAGAAAGGATCGACTGTATCATAATAATTACGTCGAGCCTCAATTGCGGTTCGTCGGTTACATAAGAGACATATATCAGATTTACGAAAATTTATTCGGGCATGGCCAAATATATGAAATGTACGAGTATGTCGACCGCTCAGACAATAACCAAGTTACGTCAAGACTTAATCCTAGTTGAAACACTCAACTAGAATTAATATTTAGGCCCTAAAGAATGAGGCGTTGAGCGCAGTTTTCCAGGAATTCCATGATTCACGTCTCACGCCAAGACCAGGAACATAGAGGACAGAAAGCGCCGGCGAGGCCTGCGGGGTCACCTCTGAGAGTCCAGGTCCGCTGTCTAATATGCACCGCGAGACTTTCAAGCGAGAGTCGCCAGTACAGGCAAGACTCGCCAGTTCAAAAACAATATTCCCAGATAGCAAGTTAAGACTACCTAGTATAATTGCATTGAAATACTTTTAATTTTCAAATCTAAGGAAATCAAGAAATATTTTGGTATAGGTTACTTATGCGATGAAATGAGGACGAATTCATTACACACACAAAATTATCTTCGGTTTCATTTTGCCTCTTCTTTGTTTTCAACGTTAATATCGGTGTTTTATAGGGAACGTTGGATGTTTGGAAAGTTTTTGTCTACGAGTAACATGAGAAATGTGTAAAATATACTAGAAGAATGCTGCATTTATAATTTAGAGATAAAAACGTTGCCCAAATAATTCACGATGCTTTAATATCGTCGTTTTCAACTCATCTTTGATACTTTGATAATATATTTTAACCATGCAAATGACACCTTAATCAGTAAGAAGTATTCGTGCAACGTTCGAATTCAGTATCGAAGCAAGAGGAGAGTTGAAGTTGGACCTCAGATTAAAATTTATTCAGTAGGTATTGAAAGATGAGGATACTTGACGTATGACAGAATGGAACAAATGGAACAAAGACTGTCGCGATCTCTAGAAGGGATATCGTCAAATATCTACCAGTGTCGAATGATAGCGTCATTTTGAGGCATATTGATAGCAATCAGCGAGTGTCAAAAGGATAGAGCCTAAAGGCTTTGGTGATGTTGGACGACGCGCGAGGTGCGTTGATATGGTTTTGTTTTGCGCCTAAGATAGGCACGGCAGGGACACAAAGTGACGAGAACCTTACGATCCTCCTACAATGTTCTAGGAAAGCTAGGCTCCACCGCCCATCTCTTCTGCGAAAACTCTAGAATGAATGGACCCGTAATTTGGCAGTCTGCCCTACCAACATCGATACACATGCTTTCTTCAATGGAATGACAACGCTAATCCATGGAAAACTAGAAATTGCTTCCACTCCTAGAAGCCACGGTATTTGAGAAATTCGAACAATCTAGAAGAATCATTTCAAATAGTTCACTCAAATTTAGAAAAATTAACACGTCTTCGACGAAAGAATCGCATCACGCACTGTGAGTCAATCGGGTCATGAAAAGATTGAGAACTTCCTGAATATGAGAATAGGCACGTGTATATCACCTGGGCCAAACTCTCATAAGCCTTCTAGCGACGATCATTTTGTTAGAAAATTGGCGCAAAATACATGTCAGTATATTTAATATGATGATAAAAACCAAGTTCGAAAATTTCCCAGTTAAAAGCTAAAAATTTCGGCAAGAAATGCTGATCACGAAACATAAGTAATGCTGACCGAGCGCACTGTTATCCAGAAATAATAACTTCATCCGTACTGAATGTTTATCACGACAATGCAGAATGCCTTGACCAGGGATCGCAACTTCATCGGCATTTGATGATTTCGATAATTTACCACTGATGATGTTTTTATTTATTATTAAGTGACGGACCAAAAAAAATTGACAAAATGGAGTGGTCAGAAACTAGTAAAGCATAAACTTTATGTATAGTAATATGGTCATTGTGGCGTATTATTTTGTTACACATTACAAACGTTTAAGAAGCACTGATCAAGCGGAGCTCGGCAACGAGGTTTCCCGCCACAGTTTCACCCGCCAGGACCGGAACTGCCCGAATTGTTGAGACGTCTGCTTTCGGTTTTGGGCTTCAGTTCAGGGTCGAGAAAACCGCACGGCTGAGCTAGACCGTACGTCATCTGCCCGTACTTGGTTACCAACATGTTGCAAGTTATGCAACTCAAAACTATGAATAATCGTCGTAGGGATTAAATTATTCATTGAAGTTTTATTCCTGAATGACGGCTGAAGAAACTGGGCGTTACCGCTAAAGTAAAAATTATTACTTGCTCACATAGGCTAAAATAGGGACCATACAATATGGCGCAAATGTAATTTCAAACATACTTTTTTAACGCTTGCGGCAAATAGTACACAAGCGCTCATTCTTGCCCATGCAAAATAAAATCAGTTAACTTATTCATGAGAACATTTTCGCTAATTCTGAGTTAACATAATTAAATCAACAAACTTAAAAGAATGAAACGCGTTTTTTTCAACAAATATCAAACAAAAATTGTTGAAACACAAACGTGCACAAATTGTGAAGTTCCTCAGAAAAGGAAACGAAACTGAATCATTACAAATTTTGACTCCAAATTAGCGGCTAGAAGCAGTAGGTTGTGTCACATAAATTGATGATTTCCTGGTATGAACGCGACAAACTAACGTTCGTCTGGAACGTTACAAAAATCGTGTCATTGGAGTATTCTTGGTGCAGGATCGCGCTATTTAGACACGAGTTAATTAACGATCGTCTGGAGTGTTGAAGTAACATAATTGCGTCAGCGCAGTTTCCGGTGCATGATCGGGCTGGATGTAAGTAATACTCCGCTGGACGGACGGTCGGACATTCCAGACCACCGTTCCCTTGTTTTCTGGCGCTATTTTTGGAAGTAACTTGGAGTATGCGATGCCGATAAATATCGTGATAACAGATGACTAGGAATTCGACCGTGCCAAAGAAACTACAATAAAACATTTCGTGCGCATAACAGGTATCGAGTAAGCTCATGAATTGCTGTGCATTCGTGCGACAATAAATAATGCAAGCATAGATTTATGCTTTATTTTGCCAGCGTATTACAAGCTAATGCTGTTACTTTAATTGAGAGACCCATTAATAAAAACATACACATTATTTACTTTTCGCTGCATGAAAATAAATACGTTAAAAACGCTATCTGATAACTCCTAAAGTTGTCAGCGAGACGCCAGAGAAATTGCGAAAGAATGTACAAGAGGACGCTGCATTGAAAAATTGTTCTATTTCTTTGATTCGCCAAAATAATAAGATTGTGATTGCACGAGCATTTATAGCACGCACTTAATAGTAAAGATCTCGAGAGACAGCAAGGAGACAGACAAAACTGTCGCAGTGTTAATGTACTTGTAATAAAATCCTCCACTCACATTAGCATTATATTTTTTTATTAATTAACCCATGGTGTTCTCGCAATCAAGATTCTAGACTTTTTTATTGCAAATCTGTTACTGAGTTCACTATCCATACTGAAATACTTCGCCATAAATTGTTCAAGCAGAATTTTGTGATTTGTCTAATAATTGTGAAAGAAATAAACCCTAACACTGTTTCCAAGTGATCAAAAATTTTATAGTTCTTACGGATCATTAAACACTATTGAACACTATTTGAAAGTGTTCAATAGTGTTCAGCATAATAGCGTGGAAAGAATAAAATTTGTTTTGACATCTCTCACTTAGTTCATAATTAATAGGCCTAAATTGCATACATTTGTATCTCTTGCAACGAAAGTTGTATTAAAATCAAAAACACCCTTTCATAATATATACATTCAACTGATAATGCAAGAGATAATTCTTTAATAAAAGTTGTCTTTACGATTTACTGTACTTGGCATTGTAACATGCGTGGTTAGACTAGAGCTTTGCTCGTTTATAGAAAACCAATACTAATACCGGTACCTGACTAAAAATTTCAAACTTTCAAATCAAAATTAAATACACATAAGAATGATAATGCTCGTCGGATGAGTGATGTTAGTAAAGAATATTCTTCCTATAATGGAATAAGAAGGGAAAGATTGCTACTTGCAGATCATATACTGAACGCGAACTTCAGGAATTAACCCTTCGTATGCAGATACATTAACAGACTTCAATGCAATTCCTACAAGAGATTTGATTTTACGAGACTGATTATTATTATCGACTGACGAAACCGTCAATCGACAAGGAGTTTCAAACCCTTCGTATGCTGATACATTAACAGACTTCAATGCAATTCCTACAAGAGATTTGATTTTACGAGACTGATTATTATTATCGGCTGACGAAAGTTATCGCCAACCGACAAGGAGTTCTAAGGGGAAAGGAGTTGAGGCTGGAGTTGCGGCGCTTAGCACCGGCGGTGACTTCAACGCTGCCCTGGCTTGGCACAGGGCATGGCTGGCTGCGTGCGTGCCCGCTCTCCCAGCCTCATGTGTGTTTACATTCAATCAAATAATTTTGCATGGTTAACGTAAACCAGTTTGCATTGTTTGTACGTAAGAAGATTAATAGTATTTTTTTTTTTAATTGAAGCGGTTTGAGTAAACATGTTGCATTTGAATGTGATACATTGATACATTGATGATGTCATATATGCTTAGAATTTTTCCGTTGCGTTTTCTCAAATTAATAGATCAATTTACGAATACTAGTTTGTAGCATTTAAGATCGGTACTCTTAGACTGTAGTCAGGTACAGACTTTTTTCTGCTAAAAATTTGGGAGAGCAAAAAATTTTCCTTTGTAGGTTTCCAGTATTATCATAGCTGTCTCCATTTCATGCAACAAATTGCCTTTCGAAATAATAGAGATCTCTATAATAAATAATAGATACAAATGATATTTATAGCGATATGACTATAATGAAAGCAAAGTTGTCATGAAAAAATACTAATGTAAACTATGCAGTACACAGTTTGTCTCTCTTTTGCTATTATTAGTGAAGTTTGTGCACGCAGTGGGATTACACAAAAGGTGCTCATTCTACTAGGAATTTTCAGCGGGTATTCCATCAATGAATAGCTGGGAATTGATACAAGTCTCGAACTTAACAATAATTAATTTATTCTGAAATAACTTGAACGTATATTTTCGTGTTAAAAATAACCTTAGCAGTATGGAATATTTGAATGAACATATTACTTATTTATATATAGTCTTATTCAAGTTTATTCTAAATGTAACCATCACGAGATTGAGCCTCCTCAATTAGTAACACACAAAGAGTGGATTTTCAATTTATTCATGTGAATAATATTAAATGAATAAATTATAAGCAGCTCAAGTTTATGCTTGATACCAACATATTCGTTACTGATATTCGTGGCGAGTTGAGGTACAACAAAGCACGAAGATCGTTGTCAATATAACGAACAATTTGTATAGGTAATAAATGATCATGACGTATTATAGGTAATTATTAATTATAGGTAATAAATGATCACGACGCTAAAACCATCAAACTAAGAGCCGTCATAACTTGAGTGTGTCATGCAATAAATGAAACTTGACACGGAAAAAACAAATGTTTGAGTCAACTAATCACAACTCAGCTGAGGTAATAACTAAAATTTTCCACTTCATGATCACGACGCTAAAACCATCAAACTAAGAGCCGTCATAACTTGAGTGTGTCATGCAATAAATCAAACTTGACACGGAAAAACAAATGTTTGAGTCAACTAGTTACAACTCAGCTGAGGTAATAACTAAAATTTTCCACTTCATCAAAATAAGTAAAGCTAATTATCAAAACTTTGTCATCTATTTTATGGCAAATAAATCGCTTTGGAATTAAGAAGGAAAAAGCTTTCGTCTGGAACATTTTGAGCACGAACGCGTAAGAAGATATGAAAAATAATTCTTAAGCACTTAGATTATTCAAGTTATAAATATATAAGCAATAAATCTATAAAATTTTGTTAAAGTAATTTACGCTTATACCGCCGATCATCGAGTACAATGAGTTTTGAATAGAAATAAGTTACACGAGTATTTAAAAAAAGTTATTAGGGGACTAAGAGTGCAATTATCAATAAAATTACACCGGTCATATCGCGGCACTTTGAAAAAATGATTGCCGGACCATCAGTTGTCACTATTTAAGGCTGGCCTACAGACGGCCGTGCCTGCATCGTACAATATTTAAAATAGGGAGGCACCATAAACATAGCAATGGGACGCGGGATTCCCTGCAACGAGAGGTGTGCACTTAATTCCGTACGATGACTGAATTTCGATACCGGACCGGCGCACCGGACAGTGCAGCGGTCGTTTGATACGTTGAGTCACTTTATCATAGGATAGTGGGAGTGTGAGTGGTGATAGTGGTGGAGATGGTGGTGGTGGTGATGGTGGTGTTGGTGGTTGTGGTGGTGGTGGTGGCGAAGATGAAGTGTTGAGAGTAAAAATAAAATATTGTGAAAAAATTACAAACAAGAGCACATTTACATCTAAAAAAATAAAGAGCAATATTGCAGTAAAAGTTGAATATAAAAACGTATTAATTGTAATATGACCGGATGGTGGAGAAATATTGATAGCACAAAACCGGCCAAGTGAGCGCCATTCAGCAAACTATTTTTAGTCAATTTTCCATCTCAGTCTATTACTTACTTGAAAAAAAATTTAACTAGAATATATCATCCTGAATGATTAGTAATTGGTGCATGATAACACATATATATTAAATTGTACGATTCCAGAACAATTCATTAAAAGTGAATAATTTCAATTTCTTGAAATCAACATGCTTCCATTGATAAAAATAAATATTGAAACATCACAAATTTTGAATGCAAACAAGCTTGATAATGAAAAGTAATGTTAACTTACCGATGAATTTTTGTAGATGTGATATTCTGAAATGAATTGCGCTAAAATTTGTTGAGCGAGCAGATCGCTCTCGTGCAAATGTAGGTGTGAAGGAGCCATGTCGCAGAAACACTGCTTCCATGCCGTCATAGTAACTCATGCTCCGATTACTGACACTTTAAGAAGATCGGTGTCACTCACAAACTCGAATTAATCACAATGTCACAAATTAAAACAAATCTCGGTAAATGACCAAGTAACTATTATCAGAGGTCACCCATGAAAATACCACGCTTGTAGAATATGGTGCCAAGAAATATAGGCTAAATCACAGTATGTTAGAAATCTTCACAAGTTGATCAGAAGGACGCAGCTATCAATTTTTGACCGAGTCAGCCACTGATCAATGTCGATGTCACAAGCAGATGCGGACACCATCAAGTGCAGGCACTCACTGCCCCGTGCGAAGCTCATAGCTGCTTATATAGCGACACGCTGTCCTGCAACTGCTAAAAAATATCACAGCCACGATTGGAGTAGCCCAGGCCCGAGGGAGGAGCCTTTTTCATTCATGTTTAGGACACGTTACCTGCTTTCTTTACTCTTTTTTTTCCTTCCGGTCACGAAAAATCTCAAGCTGTGAAAATTTTGAGAATCGCAAGTAATCGAAATGATGTAATAAATTCATCAAATCTGTAATTACATGCCTATCGAAGAACGATTGCATGACATGAAGTCATATATACATATAAATCGCATAAGTTTTGTTTTGAGATAGATTCCTAACGTTCATAAAGGCAGACAAAAACGACGGCACAGCCCAGAAAGGGAAAATAAGTGAACGTCACAGCTGGCCGCTGAATTTCCGGTGTAGATGGTAGAGCGAGCAGCAGCAGCAGCAACAACTGCAGCATCGATAACAACTCACAGGCATTGACCTATACTTCACAAGTGCAAGTGTCAGTAAGGCGTTTCAACCAAAGTTTTAATACTTATTAGAAAATTACGAATTATAGCTAATAAAATAAGGTAACGTACTGGGTGTAGTTCAGTGAATTAAAACAAAATGTGTATACAAAAGATTATAAAATACTTCACGGGCCAAATCTCATTGGAATAACTTCAAGATGTTGACGCACTATTTACTTATATACATCAAATATAGATATAAGATCGTTTATTTGATGTTGATCAACGATTTGTCACGCATATCAGGTGCAATAGTTTGTTGACTCGACCATCGCGTGGCCATCGATTGCTAGCCAATTCAGGGTCAGGAACAACGAGAAGAGAAGCGACCGTTCGTGAAACCGAAGCGACCGTACATAACGCAGTGACCGTTAATGAAACAGGAGCGACCGTACAGAACGCAGTGACCGTTAATGAAACCGGAGTGACCGTACATAACGCAGTGACCGTTCATGAAACCGGAACGACCGTACAGAACGCAGTGACCGTTCATGAAACCGGAGCGACCGTACATAGCGCAGTGACCGTTTATGAAACCGGAGCGACCGTACATAGCGCAGTGACCGTTCGTGAAACCAGAGCGACCGTACATAGCGCAGTGACCGTTCGTGAAACCAGAGCGACCGTACATAGCGCAGTCCGCAGAGACCGTTCATGAAACCGGAACGACCGTACATAGCGCAGTGACCGTTCATGAAACAGGAGTGACTGTACATAGCGCAGTGGCCGTTATGTGTAGCCATAGTGCAGTGGCCATAAAGCAGCGAACGTTCGTAATGTTGTTGCCGTTTATAATAATTCAGAGACCGTTTACAATAACGAAATTTCTGTTGGTGATAACGGAGCGACTGCTGATATTATATACAGAGTAAAATTGAGCGATAAACAAGCAAAATTAACAGATTAAAAACGCGTGATTATTAATTAAGCATATTTCAAGCATTCAGAAAAATTTATGTTTTTTACAGTCTATAATTAGTGACTATACATGTTAGATTGGACAGTTAATAGTGGATTTATTACAGAATTTCTAGTCCATTTCCTAAATGATTTTTTTTTTGCTGACGTTGGCAGCTCAAAAAGCAGGCTTCCAAATAAAATTTCAATATATTTACAAAACATTATTTTGTTGATGTTATTTTATATTTAGTACAAATTAGTAAGATGAATGTATTGCAACCGCGGGTGTATGAGATGACACCAGGAAACCCAAGCTGACCGAATAAAAGTGAATATACTACAAAAACAAGAAAATAAATAACCTCGACCATTAATAGTCCAATAACCACCTTCAGATCAGAGGACTAAGAAACCACATGAGGAAGGTGCTCAGCGAGACTGTTGCCCGAACTGTCCTGGAAACTTGCACCAGCATCATGCGGTGCCCCGACGCCTGCACCAGCATCATGCGGTGCCCCGACGCCTGCACCAGCATCATCATGCGATGCCCCAAGCCTGCACCAGTATCGTCGTGCGATGTATCAATATAAGTGTCTTGTAGAATAAAATTTTGGTATTTAAGAAATATAAAACTTAATCTTAAGCAAGCCGCCGAAGATTTAGAAAAAGAAAGCTCTTCAAATACGAGTAAAATTAATATTGAAAATTTTCGTAGTCGTATTGCTTGGTACCAGTGATGCTCCCATGAAAAATTCCTTCGGTCCCGCCGCTTGACGTATAAGTCGAAATAAGATACGAGTATTTAATTTGTTACAATTCTTCAACCTCCTTGGTTTCGGCATGCGTTAATTCCATTTTTTCGTGTTCGTAAATTTGTAGGGATTTTCGCACGCTGCTCGAGAAATCACAGCGATGGCTTCGATTTGCGGAGCTTCTTGATATATTTTCCATGATGACGGCAGATTACATTATACTTTGCTGCATTAATCAATGTTTTGCATTGATTCATGCTTCTTCTTTCCAATTTCTAACAATTTTCACATTCAATTTTTAGAGATATGAAATCTTTCCGTGGCTGAGATCAACATAATAACTCACGATAAGATGAATGTAGACTAAGAAGGATTCTAGAATTCACGGGACAGAACGTGTATGTAGCGTTCACGCGACAGAGACAGAACGTGTATGTAGCGCGCAAAGTGTGGCAACACCTAGCAAGCGTCTAAAGTTTATCTGGGCATCGAGATAACAAAGCGGAGGGAAATTTTGTCGATTGTTTAGGCATGCAAAGCGCGGCTATAACCAGAAATTTAGGGATAAATACAGAAAAGCTACGTTATTGTCAGCAAAGGAACTGATGTAATGCGGGAACTTTAGCTTCGACGAAATGAGGGGAGAAATTATGAGGAAACTTCAAGAAACTGCCATGCGTGTGATGGGTGAGGCAATACACAAGTATACGTCACTGAGAGCAATAAACGTAACTGGATATGTAGGAGATATAAAAAATTATTATTATATTATTATTATAAAAAAAATAAAATAAATTAAATGTAAAGTTAGTAAAAAGGAACAAAAAAACATTGTCATGATCGTTTTTTTGTTCAATATATAAGAAATAGACTATAATAGAACAATAGAAAGACTATTGTTCAATATAAGACCGAGTTCAATTTTCATCCAAGACCATTAAATTGATCCAAGATAAGCATTCATTTGTCATTGTTCGATTTTTTAATTCAAAATAAATATAAATCGTCTACACGTCAAAATGCAAATTACATCAGTTCGTGCACATTTTTTAGTATAGTTCACCATCCCATCGTCGAGTGAGTCGCTAAGTCGAGTGAAAACGTTCACTACAAGGATCAAAAAGACTGAAAGACTAGCTTGCAGCAGCGAATCATTCAGGGTCAGATGGCCGCGGCTGGGAAAAGAGCAACAACAGAGAGCGTGAGAGAGAAGTGAGTGAGTGAGGGTAAAGTGCGAGGGTGGCGAGAGGGGGTGTGGCGTCGGTGAATCACTTCGTAGTAAACGTTCAATATTGCATCGAAGTACCGGGAACGCTTGATGAGTAACTGCGTCAGTTTTCGAGGTGCAGTCACACATACCGCTGCACGATAACTTTTATTACAGCAGAAATCAAATAATATCATTTAGTTTGTAGTTCATATTTAACAAGCTGGTAGTGCAGAATTGTATCTAAAGGATCAGTGTAGACAGTGCTTCTATTTTACCTTACCTAATACCCTAGCCAATTAGTACGCAAGGGTTATACCGGCATGTAGCTTACCTCATACCATATCCAAGCAGGTGCATGGTGTGCAGGCATGCACCATACCTCATACCATAATACAAGTATGTGGTATATATATGCAGGCAACTCAGCGCGAGGGCAGAGGTTGTTGGGCAGCTGGAGGCGGCAGCGATGAGAACATTAAAAATGACATGGGTAAAGAAAGGCAACTTGAGAGGCCTCGGAACGATGGCAGCGGTGAGGACCAGAACGGTTTAAGTCAGAGTTGCGGTGCAGACAGAAATTCATCTAAAAAGCAAAATGAACAATAAGGATGTTAAAAGTGGCCCTTCAGAATTGGTAAGATTTATGAACGAGCTCAGGCACAGGAATGTTAAGCAAAGTTTATAGTCATCCCGTAATGCGGTCATATACAAAATCATCATCAGTGAACAACATTCAAACAGTAGAACAAAAACTCTTCAAATATTGCGAACATGATAGTATATTTGGTGGCATATATGAGCCAGAGCCAGAAAATATTATGACAATTATGTAGCACTGAAATGGATGGAAAAATCGATTTTAAACATAACAATTGCCTTGAAAAATCTAGATAAATCAAGTGTTTCCAACAGGGTGACGTTTCTGTCATGCATGAGGTAAAACTTTCATGAGGTCCCTAGTTGCGAAATGCAGGAAAATGGCAAGAGGAAACAATGCACGTCAAAGGAAGAGCTTTACGCTCAACCGCCTCATTGCGGATAAACATTTTCGTGGCAGAAATTTTTGCGGGAAATTTGATTTTTTACATTAGATATGATATAGAGTAAAAATCGGGAGCTGGCACACAATTTAACCAATTATGCAGCTAAGTAACAGACAAAACAATGAGAATCTATCTGAAATGAGCGATCAATGCAACTATTACAATGGTATAGTAATTCTATTACAACTCCAGCGAGTCGTAAGTTCGATGGTTAAGTGAAAGTTGCCTATAGCTAAGATGAATAAGAAAAAAACAAGAAATTCGAATCGCATGCGTAACTTTTTTTAATATGGATGAATTGAAAGTTTCAGTCGTAGTAGAATCATCAACAATTTCTCGAAGGATTAATAAGGGAAATGCCCATTACAGACACATAATTAAACTCGCAGGGAATAAACACGTACGGCGATCATTTTTGATGTTAGATTCGTCTATCGATCGCCGTGGCAATTAAGAAACGTGCGCTGAGAACGTTCGCAGTGACCGCGTTTGTTTGTTTTTGCAAGGACGTCAGTCCTGCAGGGAC